CACCCAGTCTGCGGCTTAGCTTTACAGCCTACCCCTACAGCCTTATCAGCCATCTACGTAATAACACCGTGAATTCTACGTTACGTAATGTATGACACGTACATAGTTTATTCACGTCCGGCAATGTATTGAACCAATTACTTTTACCGCAAACTAACATTAATTTGTAATTTGAAATGTTGTTTTGTTACTCTATTTTTTTAATCCTTAAAACTAACTCTGCTATATACAAGTAATTGCAGAAATGCAACTTTTATTTATTAAAAACAGTGATTCCCAAAGTCATACACCCTTGGGGTTGGGATACAAAATTAAGCTTCGGGAATGTTATGGTACTAAAGAGCTAGCGGTGGGTTTACTGAAACCAGTAAAGAAGAAACGTCTGGTTGCTTTAATTTATATTTCGTGTGAAGTTTTAAATGTTTATCTCTTATATATAAAATTCTCGTGTCACAACTTTCGTTCCCATACTCCTCCGAAACTGCTTGACCGATTCTCACGAAATTTTGTGAGCGTATTGAGTAGGTCTGAGAATCGGACGAGATCTACTTTTAATCCCGCGCAGACGGAGTTGCGGGCGACAGCTAGTACTAATATAAATGCCAAAGTTTGGATAGATGGATGTATGTTACAAGGTATCTCCAAAACGGTTAAATGGATCCTAATAAAACTTGGCATAGGTGAAGAGAATAGTCTGGAAGAACACATAGGCTATTTAAGTTAATTTTTGGAAATACGCGCGGATGGAATCGCGGCCCACAACTAGTTGTCTAAAAACAGCAATTGATAGAACTTCTGGGATCTTTTTAAAGACAATGATTAAGCTAAATGTAACCTACATAAAACATTTCATGCCTAGTTTAATTTAATTGCGAAATTACAATAAAATTGTCGGAGCAGGTCGCGGGGAGGTCATTAAAGTGCTCATTATGGGGAAAATTCAATTTTATAGTAACTACTGCTTTGTAGATACGACGTAATTGAAAACATGAATAAAACCCTACCTAATGCAATCTTATATTTTTAAATGAGCAATTCTTGTATATATATATATAATTGGAATCTCGGAATCGGCTCCAACGATTTTCATAAAATTTATAATATTATTATATATAGGGGGTTTCGGGGACGATAAATCGATCTAGCTAGGAATCATTTTTAGAAAATGTTATTTTATTCGTGTTTTATCGATAATCAACTTAAACTTAACTTTTTCTATCGGTAAGATCGAAAAATATTATTCATATTTCATCATTTTATTAGTAATTCGTACTTAAATATAATTTCCAAAAAACACAATAAAGGTCATCCCCAGGTACTTAAGGTTAATATACACTAGGCTATTTTCTCGAGCATTGTATGTAACGTTCTTACGAATGGTATACAGGTAAAAGCACAGTTCCCAAAGCACGTGAGGTTTGTGAAAAGGTTAAAATTAGAACATATAGAGCTGTTCGTCCTGTTACAAGTAAATGCTCTAGGCTACACTCAACTTAACTCTTTCAGTTTGTAAGTAATAAATCATAAATGTTAACTATAATACGGCAAATAATTTGTGTTCAAATATAAAGTTTTCTGTTTGCTCTGACTGGATTAGGACTGCCATACACGGAGTTAAGTAGAAACTTTAATAATTTTATTACAATGACAAAAAGAAATCGAATTTAATTATAGATTAATGTTTTTGAACATAGGTACTTCAATTTTGAAGATAATATTTTTTTTAAAATTATGTTAATCATATCTATGTAGGTCGAGGAATGCAAATCAAGCTAGAGGTCAAAGTCCATGTCATATTTGGACCAAATGCA